ATGTAGCTAAGAGCAGCTTCCTAGTTCACGTCTCTCATGCAGACCTCAGAACAGGGATGCCAAGCATGGTGGATTCCCACCACAATACACAGAGGCATCTCCAAGCTATGCAACACACTACATGGTGGATTTAGCTTTTGCTGATACAGAAAAAAAAACAAGGGTGGTGGTGGTGGGGGGTGTTGCTGGGCTACACTCTGCTTGATGGAGGCATAAACCCACTGCTTTCTAGAGTTAGTGGTGAGCATGACTCCCAGACCTGGCAGTAAATATACCTCTGCCATGTTAAAAAGCTGAGAGGGACAGAGTCAGCAGCCAAGGCTGCAGTTTTTGTCCTAGCCATGAAGCTTAGCAATTTAAAATCTCTCCAGGTCAAAAAATAATTAGAGATACACAATAAGAACAGATTCAGATGGAAAAAAAACTCTAGGTGGATTATAATATGTTTAAAAATATACATAGGCTTGGGAGAAATAAAAGAAGGTTTAGACAATCATATATAATGTTAAAATAATAAAAAAATCCTTAGGAAGGAAAATATAAAAAAAAGGAGCCACATGAAGATGGAAATTACACAGAGTCTGGATTATGTTGTCATTGGGATTTTGAACTAGAGAGAAAAAATTGATTGTAGGGGCTACTAAGCTAAACTAATATGTATACTTTAAAGGTATCTTGACTTCAAAATTTATGCCTAAGGATTTGTTGCTTTGGAAAAGAAGTTCGGTTCTACTTTTGTTTCCACAGAAGATAAGAAGCTGTGGATTCCTTCCAGGTTAATACAGTTCCATCAAGGAAGACCCCTTGAAAGGGCTCCAGATGATCCAACATCCAAAACAGCTTCAAGGCAACTGGCTGAGATGATCCAGCCTCACAGACTACTACAGCCAAGATTTAACTATAATTCTTAATTTTCTCAGGATCCCCATAAGATTGCCAGCACCCCTAATCAGCAGGAAGTTGTATGGGAAGCTACACCCAAATTCCCAAAATATTGTTTATGAGTGTTTATTTTTATTTAAAGCAGGTTGATTATAAAAGCAATCTCTTTCTAAAGAATAAAAGGGGGTAGAGATATGATAGAATGAAAGGGTAGATTATTGAATCTACTTTTAAAGAGCAACTTGTTTGAAATGTTTTACATTGTTATGGATTTTAGTTTATTGATACAAATTTAAAGTTAATTTTGTTATACTGTATATATATAAATATATATATATATATTTCTACTCTTGTTTAAGGTCTTATGTTTATGCAACTCATTTAAAATTATAATTTATAATTAAGAAACAAATTAATAATTAGTCATCTATAAAACTCAAACTTACAGATGTTAGTTAAGTTTTCTAGGTATACACAGATATATTTCAATTAGTTAGGTAATCTTCAAAACCATCAAAGACCTACAAAATATGGCATTTAAAATATTTTAGGAACTTAGACTTTTCTAGGCAATGAGACATATCTGCTCCTGGCAGCACCAATTACTTCAAAAAAGGATGATGAGCTCATTATGGTGTTTGCTTTCTTTGTGGCAAAAGTTAGCCACTGGGCAAAAAAGTGCCCTTGCCACGACTGCTTGACAAGATGCTATATAAACTGGACATGCAAGACCCATAGGAAGGTGACCACTGAACTTTGCAAGGCAAGATGGCCCTTCAAGTTCCTGCTTCGCAGAGGAGATTGCCAGACATTCTGCAGGACACAGGGAAGAACAACTGATGAACTTTGCCAATAGGCAAGACAGTCCTTCAAATTTTCTGCTTCACAAAAAAGTCTGTCCAAGACTCTAGTTTTGTAGGCTAAAGATGGATGCCCTGATATTGCAGAGAAACTTTGGATGACTGTCCAGGCAGCCAGATGTCTCTTTCACTTCTAAAATTCTGGAAGTTGCTTACAATGCACTTCCTGTTTACTTAGGTAATATTATATCCTTCTGGGGTCTTTGGCGGAGTTGAAGACTGGATAGTTATAATTATGGTTTTCCTTAATCATGATAAAGGTAAATTAGATATGAAACTTTAGACTCACAAAAATAGGATGGATGATAGAATATTTTCTTTAATTTTACCAAATACAAATAGACTAGATATTATAACTATAGTTCTTGTTTGATAACAGTTTTGTTATATATAGTTTTACTATGTTAAAGTTAAAACCTTCCTTTTTGATTAAACAGAAAAGGGGAAATGCTGTGGGATGTCTTTCTATACGCTGTGGATATATGTGTTGTTCCCATTGGCTAATAAATAAAGCAGCTTTGGCCTATGGCAAGGCAGCTTAGAGGCAGGCAGGAAATCCAAACAGAGATACAGAGAGAAAAAGGGTGGAGTCAGGAAGATACCAGCCTGCCTTCCAAGGAACAACATGTAATGGGACATGGGTGAAGCCATGGAACATGTGGCAATACACAGATTAATAATAATGGATTAAGTTTAATTATAAGAACTAGCTTACAAGAAGCTTGAGCAATAGGCCATACAGTTTCTAATTAATATTAAGCCTCTGAATGATTATTTTATAAGCAGCTGCAGGACCACAGGCCTGGGTGGGACCAGAGAAACTTCTGACCACACCACACTCAGTGTGGGTTGGAGGTAGCAGTTCCCTAAGGCCAGTGGGGAACCTCTAGGAAGAAAGTTCAATTTGGGCAAAACCTTGAATTTACTCTTTTAAAAGACTAGTCCAACCATGGAAGAAAATGGTTTGGAAAAGGACATAAGACCCTCTAAGGAGACCCTTGGAAGTAACTCTAGAGTCAGCTCAGAGACAATATGCTGTCCCTTCAGGAAAATCAGAGTCCATGTGATCTGTCTGTTGTTCATTTATATGTTTCTCTACTCATAATACTACTGTATGTTTAAGAGATGGCTTTCTAAAATGTCTGCTGCATGCCTCTTATTATTCCCATTTACCTAACTCAAACATCCTTTTCTTGCGAAGTGTTTGAACCTCCTCTACCCTCTTCCAGTCCTTGTCTAATTCCCTATCTTGTCTTCAAGCTACCTACAGTTGTTAGTCCTCAGAAACACATTTGGTTGCTCCTCAATGCATCAAAACTATATCCAAACTCTTTCTCTCTGTTCGTAGCCTCCATGGTATTGGCTCTGTGGATACTCCCAGTCTCCTCCACCTCAGGAGCTGCTCTCACACTCTCCTACCTCACTTGTTCCTTGACTCACCAACTCACAAATGTCCAGATATACCAAACGTTTCCCTTGACCCCGAATGTCTTCATCTTCTGACTTACTCTGCAAAGCTCCTGTGTCTCAGGTTCATGTCAGGTCCAGCCTCCTCCAATTCTGGATGTCCCTAACCAGAATTAGAGTTTTCCTCTCTACGTATGTTCCAATCAGACGTTTTTACTCATGTCTGATCTCTCACGGCAGTATGCCTCCTGTTCAAGTCAGCACATCTGGGGACAGGGTCTCCACTAGATCTTAAGCTCCTGGGAGGCAAGGAGAACTTTCATAGTCATTTCTGTGTTATGTGTTGTGACTTGATTGTCCTTCTCTACTAGGAAATCAACAAGCATTAGCAAGTTTGTAGGTAGGAATGGAGTGATTGCACTACAATACTGAGAATGTTTTGGGCCACATACCCAAACCTCAGTCTAGCTCTGATATTATAGATTCACCTACTGTACAAAACCATTTTGTTAGCAATGTTTTTTTTTATTTCTGAATATGGATAAATGGAATCTCAAAAAGAATAACAATTAATAATTTTACTAAGAAATGCTGAATTATGTGTTGAAAACTAAAAATCATCATTTGATAATTATTTATGGAATTCTGATTGTGTGGTAAAGGGATGTGTGTGTATGCACGTGTGTGTGTGGGGGGGGTGCTAAAATCAACGCATAGCCTCATGCATAATAAGTACATGATTCACCACTGAGTTCCAGCCCCCCACTGTGCACCTACCTGTCTCTGGGCATTCAGCTGTGAATGAACCAGATCATTGTTCTGGAAACATTTAACACATGATTTCATGAGGTTGAGGATTTCTCCATTTATAGAAGAATATACATTTAGTAAACTGGAAACAAATTATTCATCCTTTCATTGAGATTCTATGTGTCTCTAATAATAACTGATGAAAAAGGGGCTGTAAATTTGAAGGAGGGTGGGGAGGGGTGTATGAGAGGGCTTGGAGGGAAAGGGGGAAAGGGAGAAATGCAGTTAAAATGCAATCTCAAAAATAAACAACAACAACAACACAGAATCTATGTGTCACCTAAATCAGTGGTGGAAAAGGTAGTTTGAAGGACCCACCAAAGATGAGTGCCCACCATAGACATGTTTCCATTATATTAAACAGAAAGATTTCATTATATTAAACAGAAAGAAGCAGAAAGATTGCCAGGATGCTGTTGATTGGCATTTGTCTAAGCTGTGGCTATTACCATCGTTTACACATTCTCTATCTCTGACTTCACTGAAGCTCTGAACCAGGAAGTTTATCACTTTCTTCTCAGTGCTGCTTTTCTCCTTGAGCTGGGAAACACCAATAGAAGTGTTAAGCCGCAATAACTACATTTATTGAATTCCAATATATATCCAACATTGTATAAGACACTGCAGATATGAAAATTTTAATTCATCCTTCAAACAGCTTCCGGGAATAGTATCGTATAGAAAAATTGGATTGTTCCAGGGGAAACATTAGGAATATATTTCTGAAGAAAATACTTTCATAGGAAGCACTGGCATATTTTCATTTCCAAGACTAATTTAAAACAATATTAGTGGCATGTACTAGATTTTTCTGAAATATGAGTGAGTGCTAAAGAAAAACATCAATTTTCAAAACCCCTTGGGTCAGGGTAGGGCATATGTAAGAGGCCTTTGATAGACAAACATAAATTGTTAAGAAAAATATAATTGGAAAACTTAAAGAGCACTTTCCATGTTTCTCTGTGTGCATGTGTGAAGAAAGATCAATGGCTTCAAGTCTGACTAGCTCTTATTTGTTTGTTTTTCAACATCTTTTCTAAGAATCGCCCTTGTGGAAAACATTCCTGAAGGCCTTAACTACTCTGAAGATGCCCCATTTCACTTACCGCTTTTCCAAGGCTGGATGAACTTACTCAACATGGCCAAAAAATCAGTTGACATAGTGTCTTCCCATTGGGACCTTAACCACACCCACCCGTCAGCATGTCAGGTAAGGCACATCCTCTACAAGTTGGATGGTTTTATGTGCATGTTACACTCCTTACTGACTTTACCCTCAAGAGGACCAGACCAGCTCAGTTTTCCAATTCCACCTTCCCCCAGAGCTCATGGACAGTTATGTGCTTATGCACTTAGGTAGCTGTTGCATTGTTACTCATGTGTCATTCAGCCTACAAGCAACCCAGTTTTTTTCAGGGCAAAACCATCTTTCATCTTTCATCTTTGTCTACAAGAGGCTCTCTGTACAGAGCTGCTAAGAAGCATGACTACAAGGATGCCACCCACATCATAGCACCTTTCGACAGCATGGCCTAGAATTCTGCTCCATGTAGTATATATGCTTACACATCTGTATGCCTGTTGAGACATATATTTGGTCAAATTGTGTCATGTTATACAATTCACCTTCATGACCTCCGAGCTAACTTCTTAAATAATCAAGTCAAACTTCCCAAGACAGTGTATATTTTTGACTCTGTCATTTTGGGGTAGATAAGAAAAAGATAATTTCTGAATTAATGGCCTGAAATAAAAACAAAAAAGATCCTTATAAGTTTTAATATCTTTTTATTTATGTTGGTAAAAATCATGGTGGTTTGCATTGAGCTCCTATCCATGTGTATGACCATTGGCATATATTTAAATGTCCTTTACGGGTCATGGGTCAAACTAGTTTTGTTGCTTAACATTCAAATCATGTTAGCAGAACTTATCATCACTATTTATTGCTGTCCTAAAGTCTGTTATTCATCCAGTTATACCACTTGAACTATTTTTAAGTAATGGTTATCAGAAAATAAGTAAAAGCAAATAAAAATCACAATGGTCATGCTGAAGTCTTTGAGTAAATTTATTAAGTTATGCTGTGTTCAATGTGTTCCTACTTCTATCATTTAAGCATATATTTCAGGGTTTATTGTTGCATAATCTATCACCCACAATTTAGTGACTGGGAAGACAAAGATTACTTACTTATTTGTAGTTTGGAGTAGGGTTTGACAGCCAGTAATTGGGGGATGAAATGTGTGGAGTGTTCAGGTCTCTCACTGGGTCTCTCTTAGAATTCTGTGAATGGACCTGAGTTAGATCCATAAAAGAAAAAGAACAGAAGCTCAGAGGCTTGTTAACTTGAGGCCTGGCACTCCAGATTGCTGCATCCATCATATTTATTGGTTTAAGCAAGCCATACACATATGATGAGAAGAGACACATCCAGGAACTGAGAAGACCAGTTAGTTGCCATCTTTGGAAATGATACACCACAGGCCTCTTTCTGACCACAGCAATTTATTCCCTTCCACATACAAAATACAAACCACTGCACTCCTTGAAATGCAATTGAATCCCTGTCGTGAAAGGATCACTGCTCGGGACCTGCATGCACGATTCTCTTGCTTTGGAAACATGGGCTTAAAAGACTGTTCATATGCCCTAATGAACACTCCAAACATACAGTGTCAAGGCAGGGATGAGATGATCATGGGCACTTACACTCTAAAGGAAAGGAAAGGAGAACACATCAGCCATTAGTCTCTGGTGAGGTGAGATCCAGCAAAGCACATATCTTGAGTTTTACAACTTTAGAAGCAAGAGTGTGTTCTAGGATCTTGCTGTGGCTATTTTGTTTCTTCATTTGTATTTTGTTTGTTTGTTTTGAGACAGGGACTTTCTAGGCAGTCTTAACTGTCCTGGAACTTGCTCTATAGATCTGACTGGCCTTGAATTCACTGAGGTCCCACCTCTGCTTACCAAGTGCTGGAATTTAAGTCATGTGCCACTATGCCCAGCTAGGATCTAGTTCTTTACAAGTTGTTTCCCAACCTGCTCATCTCATAAGCTATGTCTGCCTGTGTACTTTCCTTTGTGCTGGGAATGGAACCCAGGGCCTTGGGCATGCCAGGAAAGTGTTCTACTACTGTAGAGCCATATCCTCAACCCGTATTCTTATCCCATAAGAAGTTTCAACTTCTTTACACATCAAACCATCAAGTTTCCTGTATGTTCTTTGTTATGATGATGGGTTTTGTTTACTTTGGTTTTGGGGGACAGAGTCTCATGTAGCTTAGGCTGCCCTCAAACCTGCTGTGTAGCCAAGCTGACCCTGAATGTCGGGTCCTCTTGCCTTCACCCTTCAAGTGATGGAATTGCTGACATAAGCCACCACATATATTCAGTGCTGGGGATTGAACCCAGGGCCTCATGCATGCTAGGCAAGCCCTCCACCAACTGAGTTACATCTTCTGACCCTTTTTCTCTCTTTAAAAGAAGCTACCTTTTATTTAATGGAGAATAGTCACACATGGCAGTTATTTCTAAACTAACAGAGCCTGCAAAGTGCTCAAGGGGACCATAAACAGCAGCGAGATGAATAGGAAGTATAACCCAAAGCACCTATCTATTTATTACAATGCAGCTGAAAGCAAAATATACGGAGAAACTGTAGACAGTGGCAAGCAACCAGATCAGCAGCAGACAGACACAAATAAGCATGGTCTCTGGGATCTGTGTCTCCTCTAGATGAGAGGTGAACTCGTAAGAATGAATGGCGGCTGTTATCAGCAGGAGTGATGAATGTGGGCTTTGCAAAAATACTGCATGGAGATGGGAGCTGGTTAAAAATGTATTATGTATCTGTGTCCAAAGGGCTGCTGTAAGCATGTGTGAGTGTGTGTGTGTGAGTGTGTGTGTGTGTGTGTGTGTGTGTGTGTGTGTGTGTGTGTAAGGGTACATGTGTGTATGTGTGCTTGTCTGTGGAAGGCCAGAGGTCAACCTCAGGCATCCTTCCTTAAATACTATATACCCTGTTTATGAAGACCGGGTCTCTGAATAGGTCACCTCAGTGATGATGAGGCTGGACTGCTTGGCCAATGGGCCCCAGGGATCCGCCTTTGTCAGCTTTCCCAGCCCTGGAATTACAGTAGTGTTCTACCATGCCCAGATTTTCACGTGAGTCCTGGGGATTGAGCACAGGTAACCATGTTTACACCAAAAGTACCCACAGAGCTCTCTCCAAGCCTCAGCTTTTGATTCCCACTCTAAAAGCCCCATTTTGTCCTCCCTACACCTCACTGGCATCGTTAACCTTTGTGTCTGTGTGATTTGCCCAGCTGACCGTTAGTGGAACCTGAAATGTCATGGTGACCACACCTACAATTAATGAAAATGCTTGGTCAGGAAAAAGACAGTTTATTTCTTTCTGCCAAGATGATGACTTTAGCCAACACAATATTAAAATTTACAGGACTTTTTGATTGCTAATTTATGAGATTAAGTGATAGGATTTTATGAAATCAAGACTTTTTGGGAAAAGCCAGGTAATGTGGCTGCTGGAGGCTGATCAGTAGATCTACCTAACTCATGCGGTGAGAGTACCAGTTCTTTCTGACTTCACTGTGAGGCACCAAATGAAATAATTAATGAGCTGAAACAATGGAATGTTGGAGAGATGCATTTATGTGAAATCAATTAGATGCTGGCCTCCCAGAGAGCTCCCAACTGGCGTGATTGCCAACTGATGATACATTGAAATTGTTTGATTTTGGAAAATTTGGATTGTTTTTAAATTACACAGGATTTGGTGGAGTTAATGAGGAATAAGGGAGCGCAATGATCCAGAAGGTCTTTTGCAAAGTACAGCTCGGTCCTGTCTCCACACATTAAATGGTTAGCAGCTCTCAGAAAACCTGTAGGATTTGCCTATTTATCAGCTGTGTGACTTTGACTGGGATCCAGGACTGTTCTGTGCCTCCATTTCCTCAGCATCAAAGCCAGGGTGGTAGCAGATACTATAGATTGAGTTAGAACCTATGTGTGTGCTTATTACTACCATAAATGTCATCATTTTACATTCACTCATTTGTGCATACACCATAACTCTTGTTCCAGTCAGTTTAATACTGTTAACCAATAATGAGTTCAAGGCTTCCCTCTGGCAGAAACTGGGTAATTATCCGTAAAAAAAGCAGTTACAACAGTGAGACCCTAGGGAGAAGAGGATTAGATAAACCATCATGATGTGGGAAATTCTGAGCTTCATTTTATGTATTTGTTACAGATTTTTATGCATATGCACACACATATAGAGAGAGAGGGAGGGAGGGGGAGAGACAGAGACAGAGAGACAGAGAGAGCACAGACAATCTTTCACCCATCTCTATGTTAGGCTTTGATGAACTCATTCTTTGAAGAACATCTTCCTAATCTCTGATGTTCAGGAAGTCAGGGTCTATCTCAGTTTTGGTAAAGATCTGAAACATATACCCCAATCAACACCCCCAAAAGCCCATTCCTAAGAATTCTTTTTTATATATATAAATATTTTGTATTTAATATTTTTATTTTATAATTAACTTTATTTCACATATCAGCCACAGATTCCCTGGTCCTCCCTCCTCCTATCCCCCAGCCCTCCCCCCAATCCACCCCCCATTCCTACTTCCTCCAAGGCAAGGTCTTCCCTGGGGAGTCAGCCCAGCTTGGTAGACTCACAGCGGAGGCAGATCCAGTCTCCTCCTCCCTACACCAAGGCTGAGCAAAGTGTCTCAGCATAAGCCCTAGGTTCCAAAAAGTCAGCTCATGCACTAAGGACAGACAGGTTCTGGTCCCACTGCCTGGGAGCCTTCTAAACAATTTAAGCTAATCAACTGTCTCACTTATCCAGAGGGCCTGGTCCAGTTCCTTGGGGGCTCCTCTACCATTGGTTCACAGTTCATGCGTTTTCACTAGTTTGGCTATTTGTCCCTGTGCTTTTTCTAATCATTTGTCCCAATACCTCACACTCATACAATCCCTCCTCTCTCTCACCGATTGGACTCCTGGAACTCCACCTGGGGCCTGGCCGTGGATCTCTGAATCCGTTTCCATCAGACACTGGATGAGAGTTCTATCATGACAGGGTGTTCGGCCATCCGATCACCAGAGCAGGTCAGCTTAGGCACTCTCTCAACCATTGCCAATAGTCTACAGTGGAGGTATCTTTGTGGATTTCTG